GGTAGGGCTTATATTTTCAAATCGAGACCCCCAAATTTCACGATAATCTGATTTCACGATAATCCGTAACAATAATTTTACACTTTGACTAATATGTATTTGATTAAATAAAAAAAAAACTCACGTTAACAATTTATTAGATATTTATAGATAGGTTATAAATCAAATCACTTACTAACACATGTAGCTAACTAACACTTAGTTTAATAAATTATACATAGCAACCGAATAAAATGTCCGCGGACACATGATGTTAAACCAATCACGGTACAGGATTAGGCGTAACGTGAATACAACTGTCGGCTTTTTTAAAAAATCATCTATAACTCAAAATTTTGATACAAAACCACCTTTTGCATCTTAGCAAAAAAAAAATTCCTTGCAAAATTTTGCTGTATGCAGAGTCCTTCATACATCATCCCAATGCTCGTCCTAATATCAAAGGTTAATTTTTTAATCGTAAACAATGAAATTTTAGCGCAGATCATCACGAGACCGCGAATTTTTGAGGTTGCTATGTATGTTTAATTAAAGGATAAATAATAGGTCGTATAAATAAATTAAAGTTAACTACCAATGAGTGCTCAAAGAGAACACGAATGGTATAAAAAAATCTAACGAGAACTATGCTAGCAAACTATAAATTAGCAGAAGTTCATGTTACTTGAAAAATATGTATCGATTAAATCATCGTTAAACATTTATTAAAGTTTCAAATTATTATAAAATCAAAGACAGCAGCAAATTTCGCAAAATATTATAATAAAAACGAAAAGTTTCGAAAAACTAAAAAAAAAAAAAATGGCTAGCTATCACTCATCCACCATTTTTTTAAATACTTCAAGGATGTCTTTTTGAATATTTATAATGTTTTCAAACGCTCCTAGTAAAATATTCAGTTTTTGTTCATTGCTTTCTTTGACTTCAGAAATGGTGTCGATAAGATCGTTCTCGTGACAAAATAAAACTCGGTTATTGTATTTAGGATCTCACTTGCGAAATATGTATTGGTTACCAGGAATCCAATGACTTCTTTTGGCTCTTTTTCTAATATTTGATTGAATTCTTTGACTTCTGTTTTACGGACCATATAACATGGTTGGTTGAATATACATCGAACGATGAAATGGAGTTTCTTATATCTTCCGGTTCTAATTAATTGTTCTTTTATCAACAATACGTATACCTCCTTCTTCTCATCAAGTGTTAGCTAAAGGGGAAAAAAAAGCGTGAATAGTTATTATTGCAACAATGTATTTTTCACTTATTTCGTCTTCATGCCTTGCAATCCGAACATGGTTCATTCTATCTAAGCAGCGTAAAACAAACACGAAGTACGCACAAAGTAAGATTAACTACGTTGTTAAATTCCGTGTAGTAAAAGATCGAATTTCTTTCGAGATCCGTAGGATTGAGTTTTATTTTTGTTGTCATTTTTCTAGGCAGACTAGAGATTTTTATGAGCAGGTCGAAGGTATTTTTATATCGAATGAAAAAAAAAAGATATATTCTTACGCATGCGGGAGATATTTTAATGCACCGGTGAGGGAAAAAAAAGAACGTGGATGTGAATAAGAGTGTCAACTGCAACATGTTTGTAACCTGAAGCCTGAACACAGTTCTTTCCGCTTTAAGCGTAAAATAAATAGTTTCACGTTTGGT